AAGCTGGGCATGGTGGCACCTGCATCTAGTCCCAGCTGCTTGGGAGGGGGCAACAGGCAGATCACGTAAGCCCTGAGATCAGCCTTGGCAACATAGTGGGCCACAGTTCCACTCTAGCTGTGGAAACCGGGAGGCCTGGATTCAAACCACGATACCTTCCAGTCATATGTAATCCCATTCAGCGTGTCTATAAAATAGAGAAGACAGTTTTACCTGTGTCGGGATTGCTGGGAGAAGCAGCTAAAATACTTGCAAAGTGTTGGCCCACAGTAATCACGTACTAAATTCACAGTCATTTTTATTGTTGTGAATTTATGATCTTTTTATTACAGCATTGATGCTTAAAACAAATGGAGTAGGAGCTAGGGAAATTAACACTAAGCTAATGCAGAAAACATTTTGTTGGTTAGCGTTTCAATTGGGATCTAGAACCCCTGAAAAGAGCAAATATATAGTTTGAAACAAACACTTAAACCCAAAGCAGAGACTTATACAGAGCGCAAGTCAATGCTCTTGCAACACAGAGGATTTTGTGCAGGGGAATCCTGCCACCATGTGGCAGCTGACTGGTGCCTCACATCTTCTGCCACCTCTGATTTGGTGTGACCTTGAGCAGAATTGAATCTGTGCCTGTTTCCTCTGCTAATATGAACTCTCCTTTACTGACCAGGTAACTTCCTGTATGTTATGCAGCCCTCTTTAGTGACAGTATGCTTAAAACCACAAGTTCATTGCAAAATTGTGTATGAGATTTCTGTGGAATGTCGTAACTGCATCCCTCTAAGGGCTATGAAAATCACCCTTTTTGCAGATTTGAGGCACACATAGCATCTGAAAACTGCTCTTTATAGAAACTTTGTGGATGAGTATTTTGGCTCGTACGTCTAAGCTAGCTCACCTCTTCCAGTATTAGGAAACAGGAGTATAGAAGCCTTAATGGCTGGAAGCAGGCAAGATGGGTCCTCTTAAAGCCACTGGGACTCGAATCTCCATGCTCGTCAGAAATTACTCGAAAATCCTGAAGTATATTGGATAAATTAGGTAGGATTTTCTCAGCTGCTGTTAAATACGACCCAGGGAGTGTTACCTGGCTTTGCCAACTAAGTCCAGGGAAGAACTTCTAGGTCTTTTGGGAGAAACCCAAGACTCTGATTCTATTTTGGCCATGTTTAAAGATGCAGCAGGGTTGAGTTGGGTAATGTGGAGCCATGCTATGCTGTCCTTGCCTCGGGGTGAGCACAGCTTTTCCTCACAGCTGAGGCAGGGAGGACTGTCAGCTAAGGGAAAAACCAAGACCAATGAAAATGCTTTCTCCTTCCTTCTAGGCCTTCCGCTATCAGTGAATTGAAAACTCTACATAAGATAGCCAACAATAAAAACAACTGGTTGCTAACCTGACTGCTAAAGCACAAAATTCTTTTATCAGCATGGACGGCAGTGGCAGAGCCAAAGGGAAAGAGATTTTTTTAAAACTAAGGATTCCTGAGGAAATTCTTGTGGAAAAAGTTCCACCTAGCAGCACTACAGGTGGGATACATAAGAGCTCTTAGAACCGGTCAGGGGCTATAACTTGGTAAAGAGGTCTTGGATGGCGCTGTCTAGGCTGGACTTCTCACCTCTCATGTGTCTCTCTCAGGAATTTGTGCTTATTATGACTTACCATCTTCCATTTCTTTTCTAATTGTAGTTCATTCCTTAAGTCCTTGCCCCCACCCCCCACCCCTCTAGATACTATGGGCTGAACAGAACCACGTGATGGTCCAGTACTGCATCATATCCCCAGTCCTGAGTTTAAAAAAAAAAAATTAGACAGTACCTTACTAATCAGTTTATCCATGAGCATCCTTGAAAGTGGTGTTAGTCACAGCCTGTTTAAGGCTATTAAAACTGCTTTGTGAGTGACGTTGGGGTCTCCTGAGACATTTGCCGTGCATGATCTGACAATGTATCAGAATTAGAATAGACTTGATAAATGAAAAGATTGTGGGTAGGACAAGAGAAATTAAGGGGTTTTTGTCTAAGGTCATCTTGGCAGTTATCCCTGGAATACAGCTGGTTGTTGTTCCTTCCACACTGCCTCCACCAAACTGGAGTCAAAAATCTTTAGGAAAGGGTCTGCTGGTGAAGGTGGCTCCGTGCATACAAGGCTTAGCTGTGCAAGCCTGACTGCCTGATTTCGGTCACTGAACTCAAAAAAAAAAAAAAAAAATCCCAAGCTGGGTGTGGTGGCACGTGTCTGTAATCCCAACCCTCCTAGGGAGGGAAGAGAGGCAGAGGAGAATCATCTGGAAGTAGAAGCTGATAGCAAGCTAGCCTAAAGCATGCAGCACTGCTTTACATAAGATAGACTAAGGGAGACACTGTATGTTCTACCTAAGATAGACTAAGGGAGACTCTGGCCCCCCAGGTCCACGGCAAGAGCGGATTCCAGAGCTGTCTCCTCACCTCCACACAGGTGCCATGGCGTGTGCCCCCCTCACACAGAAATAAGCAATAAGTCTTTAGAAAAGGAAGGCTGACAGATTTGTGAAGACATTCCTCAGCTGTTGAAATATCTAGGAAAGAAGTAGGCATTACTGAATCATAGGATTTTTCATGGGTGCAAAGACAAGAGAGAAATTTCATAGTTGTTTGTACAACTTTAAAACTTCTCCTCTCTTCACCCTGTTACCTGAACTGACTTTGGGGAACGCGGTGTCTCACTACCAACTACCCTACCACTTAGGACTCACAGGACATTTTGGTTTTACATTTGTTCAGTCTGTAAAATCCAATAATCACACAATCCCAAAGTGACATTTGGCTGTGGCCAGAGCCTGCGCGCACCGTATTCTCAAGGCCAGCCCACAGACTGGCAGGTTTTCTTCAGCTGCTGCCAGTGTTCTCCCAGCACGCTTTAGTCTGGCACCCAGAATCAATGTCCTCGGGTGCTGCCCTGACTCTTCTTTTTGTCATTATTTAGTGGTTACTCGGCTTGTCATTGTTCATTTTAGCCCTGCCTGGAGATGGGACATTTGCTGGTATCCAGACGTTCCACATTGACTTGTCAGCTTGGGATAGTCGCTTCCACTGCCACACACTAGTTTATGGATTTGACAAGTGTATAGGCATGAATCCACCGTGGTAACATAATGAGTTGTTTCACCAACTTGAAATTTTTACTGTTTTGTGAACCATTAAGAACAGTAGAAATGTTCAGCATAGCATAACCTAATTTAGAATGGCGTTCTCTTCAGAAAACTAGGTAAGTAGCAAGCTTTCTAAATCAGTCTGTTGGGAACCAGTGACAGGGATCACACAATTAACTCTTGATATTTCTCCCATCCAAGTACTAATGTGTACTAACACTGCTAAGCTTCTGAGACCTACTAGAATGTGTATGTTTGGGGTGGTATGGCTGTAGACAAATGCTTCCTGCTGCTAATGGGCCTGAGCTACACAACTCTCTTGAATTAGCTAACAGGCAGTGGCATTTTTGGGTGTGTAAGGGTAAGCTAGTTTCTTATGATCTTCATAGCAAGTTAGAAGAAATCCAAGCCCAAATCAAAATCTGCCATATTGGACACATTTAAGCAACCTGTCCATAAACTCAGAGTTCTACTTATGGGTTGAGACATCCACACCCTTTCTTATCAAAGTTCCACTTGATCAGAAACAAGACAATATACAGTGTATGCTGGGAGAGAGGGGTGAGTAGAAAGCAATTAAAAATTCCAAGTGTTACAATATTGTCTTAAATATAAAGGAAAAGAGTGCTCCCTCAAGTGCGAATGGCTGCCTTTCATAATTACAGTTTAAAGTGGCTCTCCTTCTAGTGTTCATGGAAACAAAGTATTCTGACACTTAGGAGATTGTTCCATTTCCCTCTTAAAACACACACTACAGTTCACAAACATCTCCTGCTTGGTAGCTGTTGGACACCCTGAGATTGTCTGGGATTCTCACAAGTCATCACTACTAACCCTGGGCCTTAGCCACCTGATTCATTTCTCCCCAAGCCAGCTCTCTGCAGGGTTCTGTGTGCTGCTTTAGGCTGGGCCATTCCAAAGGCACCCTCACGTTCTGGTAGATAGCACCCAATCATTTTCAATCATCAGTTGTCTTGGGTATTTTTATTTGGGGACAGGAGTCAAAATGACTGGAAAAACAGATTAACTGCCAGGAATGCTAAATGAATATAGCAATAGAATGACAGTATTTTCTCATGACAAAATACCATACCCCAAAACTATTAGTACCTATTTACATTAAGTTGCTAGTACCTAGCACAGTGAAGAGTCAGAAACTTCATTTTAGTTGTGTATTTTTTCCTACTTAGAGTACTTATCCTACAATTTAATATTATGTTTTCTAGTGACAAAAGACTATATTCCTCAAAAATTATTTTAGTAAAACCTACTCAGGAAAATACAAAAATACTTAATGGCTGGTTTCAATTTGGTCAAGAGGCTTTGGTAGACAAATGGAAGGTGTCTGGTGCTAACTGCATTAAGCAGCTCCGAGAACAAGAAAACCTGTAACCCTGAAGGCTATCTGTACATGGTGTTCAGGGAAAAAATAAGCTATAGATCTGGGCATGGTGACACACACATTTAATCCCAGTACTCAGGAGTAGAAGGCAGGCAGAGCTCTATCTACAAAGACAAAGGCTAGCTACAAAGGCTAGCCTGCCTGCTCTACAAAGGAAGCCGGGGCTGTTACACAGAGAATCCCATATAATATGTGTGTGTGTGCCTGAGTACATATATATGTATAAATTCTAAAGATAGTCATGGAGAGGGGAATGCTGGAGAGATGGCTCAGAGGTTAAGAGCATTTGTTGCTCTTGTAGAGAACTGGGATTTGGTTCTCAGAACCCACATGGTGGCTCATAACCATCTTTTACTCCAATTCTAAGGCATTCAATGCCTTTTTCTGAACTGTGTAGACACCAGTCACATATGCAGTGCATATACATCCAAAGTAGGCAAAAACGCACATACACATAAAGATATTCATGGGGGCAGTACAATAAGTGAGATTAATTTATGGCTATATAAAAATATTTATTCACAAAATAAAAATATTTACACAATGGAACCTTGATCTTGTTTTCTCCATGAGTCTCTGCAAGACAATCCACTATGAAATCATGAAGACTATGCGGTCAGAGTGACAAGACAACTATAAATACAAATATTCACAACGAATTATTCAAGACTCAGGAACGTCTTCATCAGGGCAGCAGTAATATTCCACAAAACATATCTGCCCATCTTCATTTCTAATCATGTACTGTAGTGAGAGGAATCCTCGATTATCTGTCCGAATAGATACTTTACAGGATAGAGCTAATGCCTTTGTAGAGGGTTTCAGTAAAGCAAGTTTGTATCTGCAGGAGAGCAAATGAAAAGCTGTTATTTGGATCCACTAAATGCCATGCACACAACACCAAGTATGGTTAGCTAGGAACTATTTAGCAGCAGATACTTGCCAATGTGTTGGTCTTTTCTCTCGCTTTATCTACCTGTGATTACAATCCAACATCCCCGGGAAAGCCAGAGCCCATCTACTTTTTTTTAATGTGATGCATTTTCTAACATATTAAAAATTACCTGGTTTGGTTTTATATGGGAATTTTGTACTTAACTTCATCTTTATCAACAATGCAGCCTTTATATTAAGAACTGACCTGTTGTTGGACATGGTGACACACTCCTTTAATCCCAGCTCTTGGGAGGGAGGCATTTAGATCTCTGAGTTCGAGGCCTGCCTGGTCTACAGAGTGAGTTCCAGGACAGCTAGAAATGTTACACAGAGAAACCCTGTCTCAAAAAAACAAAACAAAAAAAATAACTGACCTGTTGATCTGGGTCTTATTACAGTGAAATGCTTCCACCAAGTCAGAATCTTTGGGATAGTCAAGGTGAGAACTTCCAGCATTTCCAAAAGTAGATAGCCTAGAGTTGAAAGTAAGCAAATCATTCATTTATAGGTTTGATAATAAGCAATATTAGGACTCATGCTGCCTTAAATGACATATTAAAAAACTGGCTATAGGAACAGGGGAGATGGTTCAGTGGGCAAGTACATTTGCAGTGAAAGCCTCAGGTAACTGAGTTCAAATCCTCAGAACTCACATAATGGCCAGATATGACTGTATGTCTATAACCCTATCACTAGGGAACAAAGACTGAAAGATTCTCAGAACCCAGTAGGTAGCTGCTTAGCCAAAATTATAAATTAATCAACTGCTTCTGAAAGTTCTGAGAATTTTAGGAGGGGTAAAAAAATTCCTACAACTCAAGCAAATGTTGGGTGTAGAGTTGGATCCACTGCCAGACCACATTAAGGATAATTGCACTCACGTACCTGAAGTAGGGCTTGTCAGGAGATACGGTGATCTGTAGAACATCACTCGTCATGTCCAGCTCAGAAAACGCTTCCCGCAGCCCCTCTGACTGCAGGATAATTTTATTTATAACATTGGTGCTACAGAAATCAAAATCGAGAGTCTCTTCAGGCTCCTGGGTGTTAATTTTGCAGACTGTTACCACTCCTCCTTCTTCTAGAAACAGCATCAAAGGATGACCATAGCCTTGGTAACACAGCCGAAGTGCAGTTAAAGTCCCTGCAAATGACAGAAGTCACAGGGGCTCAGCTCTGTGGCTCTGGGTTTAGCTTTCCCTCCAAATGGCAAACATACTGCCTCAAGAATAATTTATTCTGCGAAGCTTCTAGAATGCATGTCTCTTCTTAAAGGATCCCAATTCCTGTAACTGCAAGGACACGAGAGCAAGCTTAGCTTGTTAGATGAATTTTCCACTTAAAATGGAAACATGCCTCAGAAAAATGCCTTCTACTGAGATACAGCATTATTTTAGATCAAATTGGTAGTAAGAGAGGGTAGCCATTGATGATGTTATTTAACACCTCTAATTGGCTCCTTTCTCTTGGTTAGAGAGCCAGTGAGGGATCTGGGAAAGCACATACTCCTAGGAAAAACCAGTGGGGGAACTGCGTTAGAAAATGCAGTTAAAAACATGTTTACTGTAGATGTTAGTATGTGGATAATGGCTGTAAGTGTGGTTGCATGAATTCCATGGCATGTCCATGGATGTCACTCAACAATTTTTGGGTGTTGGTGCTCCTAAAGGACCTGGGAATCAAACCCAGGTTTTGCCAGGCTTGCTGGGTAAGCACTTTTACTCACTAACCATCTCACTTGTTCAAAAGGCGTAGTCAGACCCATTAGCCCAGGATTTTGAAGGCACAGGCAAGAGATCACAGCAGGCTCCAGGCCAGCCATGGTCCATAACATTGCAGAGTACACTGTAATCCCAGCACTTGGCAGTTAAGGCAGAAATACCTCAAGTTTAAGGGCAACCTGAGCTATACTCAAGTCCCTGTCTACAAAACAAAAATTAACAGTGAAGCGGCCAGTGCAAAGCCATGGTTTTAGACCAGTACCTAAATGTTCCCTAGCTTACTACAGTCAAGTTACTTTCCTACGAAATAAAATCATTTCTTGGATTCTTGTAATCTTATGCCCATGGCAACTGAATTTTTTAATCTCTAAAAATAATTCCCTAAGCAAGTAAAAATATGTTTTGAAGAAACTTTTTGAGGAAGCAGACATAATTTATAAAAGTCTTAATTTTAGCCAACCATTTTAAACATGGTAGACTGGGAGTCAGGAAAATTTGTTTTTCTCTACCTGTAAGTAGATGTCAATTCTGAGTAAGTTAGAGAAATATGTAATTAAAACAAATTTCACAAAGTTAAAGATATAATTAATGACTGTTTAAAGTCTTGATTTTAAACTTAGAATCTTAGAGCCTTGTGAGATGATTTTGTCAACCAGACAGGATCTAGACTCACCTAGGAAATAAACAATAATAAAATAACAATAAAGTTTACCTGGAGTAGGACTTGATCCAAAAATAGATAAACAATCTAAAAGGATAGTTAAGTTAATTCGGAAAGTAACAGATTCTTCCTGAATGGTGAATTCTTGAAACACTTCAGCCTGCAAAAAGTGAACATGAAAGTGGGGTTATCGTAAACAATGAAAATTCACACGCAATATTTCATTTTACACTTAAAAATGAACAATACTGTGCCAACTCCATGAGAATAATTTCTCATTCCCCACTGAGATATGGCAAATTGTCAACCATTACCCACTGAAATACCACTCAATGGTTTAATTGTTGGGTCTCATTTAAAAGTTCCTGAAGTGTGTGTGTGTGTGTGTGGGCGGGGGGTATGATGAAAATGTGTGAGTTTAAAAGGGATGCTGGAGAGGAGATAGCTTAGCAGTTAAGAACACCAGCTACTCTTCCAGAGGACCCAGGTGGCTCACAACCATCTGTAGCCATTTCCAGGGGATCTAACACCCTCTTCTGGAAGGTACTCTGAAGGTACCAGATACATACCTTTAGCAGACATTCATGCACACAAAACACTCATACACAAAAATTAAAAAAAAAATTAACTAAAAAGCAACAAAAGAGACCACTCCCCCCACAAACAATGGTTCTTCATCTTCATTTCTGGATATAAACCTATTACCCACTTCCCTTGCTCCTTCCTTGTGTCGTTCAGGCTAGAGTAACCTGAAAACAGGGCAATTTAATAATGCACGAATGACAATAGTTTCTAATTACTTTTTTAAAAAATTAATTAGTTTCATGTGCATTGATGTTCTGTCTGTGTGAGGATGTCAGATCACCTGGAACTATAGTTACCACTATAGTTGTGAGCTGTCACGTGGGTACTGGGAATTGAACTAGGGACTTCTGGAAGAGCAGCCAGAGCTCTTAACTGCTGAGCCCCTCCAGCTTCTTTTGAAGACAGAAACCATGCTTTCTTTATTTCTCCATTTGTGAGGTCATACTATACACATGTTCAAAAATATGAACTGAATGTTGAGCTCCGATCTGAACCATATAAAGGATAGGATTATAGCTATAATAGATTACAGTTACAGGTGATGGTACAGGGCTTTAATCCCAGTACTTCAATGCAAAGTAGAGGCGGGTGGCTTTCCTAGCCCTGGAGTTCAGTGTGGTCTACATAGCAAGTTCCAGGTAACGGGTTTTATGTTAGAACCTGTCTCAGTTCAAAAAATAAAATAAAAATAAATGCTATTACAGTCAGTAAGATGAAAAACTAAACCGTGCAGGACAAGAATGAGAATGTAAGGAGTAAACAAACATTCTGAGTTTTCATCAGGAGACTGCTGAAATCAAATCTGTTGCAGTTACCACTTACGTAAAGCAGGAACGATATATGTGCCTATTTTTGTGAGGACTTTTAAAAGCGGTAAACGATGAGAAGAGTGCCTCATAGTTTAACCTTAATAAACTATCACTAGGAATCATTATCTGTGTGAGACACGATGGGAAAAGTATTTGTTGGCAGGAAAGGAAAAAATAAATCAAGTAATGACATTTTATTCTCTAACTTGAATTTTTTAGAAGTCCTTCAAAGTTTAATAACCAGGCGAATGCTACAAACGGGCCTCCGCTCCCCCATACCTGAATAAAGGCATTGGCTTGCACACACTTTGCATTTTCCACGGTAACTTTGAGTCCATTTTTGGTAGCAAAACACGCGGCGTGTTCTTTGAAATGAATGGCTTTCAAGACGGTGGAGAGATTCCTAACGTTGTCGAGGCTGGCCACTAAGCAGTACTGCTCGTCCTCGTCCGGAACGCGCTGGGTTAGGAGAGGCATGGATGCTCCTCTTCCAAACCTCCGAAAACCTGAGAGACGAACAACAGATCTGTATCAGTGCTAATGGGGCTGGCGACCTCAATCCGAAATCGGCTGTCAAGAGAGCCCCGCTTCTTGCCACTGTACGGTCTTCAACTTTTGGGGAAATTCTATCTCCCTGTCTCAAAACTACGGTTTCCTCGTCTTCTAGGGGAAAAGAAGCGATTCACAGGGCAGCTGTAACTGTCGCGGTTTCAACGCGGTAAAAAGGCGTCGCAGCTCGCTTAGGGTCTACTCGGCAGCTCCCAGCGCCGCCAACCCGGCCGGCCGCGGCCCCGACAGTCACCCGGCTCACCAGCCAGCCTGCCGCACAAGGGGAGCCCCGGGCACAGGCCCCTGCCTCTGCGGCGACGTCCGACGCCTCAAGGTCCTCTCCAGCCCCGTCCCAGGAAGGACAGACACAATGAGCGTCCCGAAGCAAGCGAGCCTGGCACACAGCTCCCGCCGCTCTTCCGCCCCGCCGCCCCGCGGGCCACCGTCACCACCGAGCCGCCGCCAGCCTAGATAGTCTACCGCAAGACCGGAAGAAGGCTCCTTCCGGCTGGATGACTAACCCAGAACCTAGCGTGTACTACCATAGAGACTGGAAGAAGGCGCGAGCGGCAGAACCGGAAGTACGGCCGGCCACTAACGCGGCGAGGCAAGATGTCGGCGACCAAGAGGAAGCGGCGTGGAGACTTGGAGGTTCAGGCAAAGAAGCCGAAAAAGAGTCGGAAAGATACCGGGAAGCCAGCTAAGCAGGCGGCTGTGACAAATGAGGTGGAAGAGGAAGATAGGGATCGCATCCCAGGTCCCGTTTGCAAGGTAAAACCCCAGCTCCAGGGTTGTGCATGTGGCGTAAGCTTCGTGAGCCGCTTATCGGCTACCAACGTGACTGCAGCCAAAGCTTTCCTGGATCACGAGCTTAGGGATCCCCTTGACTGAACTGGACCATGTGTATGTTAAAGTTTTATGCAGGTGGCCTCCTTGAGTCTGCCGTCCGTAGAGCTTGTAGCCAAGGAGGCCACTTAACGGGGCTTTTACTTCTAATATTGTTTTCACTCGTCTCCCCACATTTCTGCCATCTCAGGGCAGTGTTTTTCCTTGGATTTTGTCGACGTCGTTCTTTGTTTTATTTTTAATTTGTTTTTTCTCTTTTGGGTGTATCTACCCCATTCCTTCTATTCCCTGCCAATGTTGACCGGTGTCAGACAGGATCCTGAAGTTTCTCTCTCTCTCTCTCTCTCTCTCTCTCTCTCTCTCTCTCTCTCTCTTGGTTTTTCGAGACAGGGTTTCTCTGTAGCTTTGGAGTCTGTCCTGGAACTAGCTCTTGTAGACCAGGCTGGCCTTGAACTCACAGAGATCCGACTGCCTCTGCCTCCCGAGTGCTGGGATTAAAGGCGTGCGCCATCACCACCCGGTCCGAAGTTTCTTTGCCAAACCTTTAAAGTTATGTCTTGTTTGGTTGGATCTTAAGGATAATAAAATATTACACTAGACCTTGAGTTTTCTGTGTTCAGCAGTTCACCCTCTGCCAAGGTGAGCTTCCTCAGCCTTGGCATCTCAGAGATGATGGACAAGACTTCTTCCAGAAATACTGACGTTTCGAAGGAAAGAGGGCTTCATAGAAAGTTATATGCATATTCAAAAGGCCAACAGAGTTAATTTTCACTCAGCTGAAAACCCCTTAAGGAAAATGTGTTAATGGAGGAAAAGCTCTTGCCTGTGACCTGTTAATATCTGTTCTCTGTGCTTAGTGTAGTACTGTAGCTTTTAGTTAAAAAGGAAATGTGACAGCCGAGTGTAAATTATAGCCCAGCTTTAATTAACAGTTAAATCTTGTCCTCTAGTCTGAAAGGAAAGCTACTTTTGAGGAAAATGAGCTGGACTTTTAGGTTTTGAATACATGTTAGTGCTCTCCCCCTCCTTTAGGAACTGACAGAACCATGTGGGAATCGTTAGGCAGTCGCTCTGTGATGCATTCATTGAATTCATGAGATAGATTACTTTTAAGATAGTGAGGAAACATGAAGGACTTAGCCTCTGAGCTGGATTTCAAAGAAAGGGTTTAGTTTTGATATTCAGAGAGAGAGAGAGAGAGAATAAAAAATAATTCATCAAATTCATCAAAGGCATTAAAGTTGGGGGACAAAGAAAATCTAAAATTAGAACCAGGTTGGGTGAGCAGTTTTCAGGGCCAATGTTGGGCAGTATTTTAGAATCCAATAATAGAGGGCATATGCCATTTTGAACTGTGAAAACCCCTGGGAAGTAAAGTCATGATTTGGCCGTTAGACAGCTGCCAGAGTGCTTTTGTCTGGGGACGCCAGGCTTCAAGAGCTTTGCAGCTCACAGTCAGCTGTAAGGGTTTAAGTAAAGACACTGCACAAGCGTTCCCAACTGTATAGAGGCACTGATAAGTATTTAGCATTGCTTAAGATGGCGATATAAGAAAATAAAGGCAAATGGGATATTCAGAGTCAGAGGGACTGAAATGGTGGTAGCAGAAAGAAGGAAAGGACAAAGGACAGGAAGGAAATTTGCCAGATATAAGGATGGCCAAGTTTAGTCATACACTTGAGTTTGAGGCTTTACTTTAATACGTGTATTATTAGGACTATAAAGACTTCTTATATTTCTGTGCATAGTTAAACTGGGAATGAGCATAGGAGACTATAAATTCAGAGAATAAAAATTTTTAAAAATGAAAAAGTGCTAAGAAGGAATTGTTACGGTAGTAAGGGGTGGCTGGACAAATGTGTTTGTTTTAGACACTGTGTTTGCGGCATAGCTGTAAATTCCTAGGTTCAAGTGGTCCTCCTGCTTCAGCCTCACTAGCTGGGGCTAATGGAGGTATATCACCATGCCTGGTTTTAATAACTCTCGTGAAAACACACCAGATAAGTTCAGCACAAGATATTAAAAGTTTTCTTTTCTTTAGGGCAAATGGAAAAATAAGGAGCGGATCCTCATCTTTTCTTCCAGAGGAATAAATTTCAGAACAAGACACTTAATGCAAGACTTGAGAATGTTGATGCCCCATTCTAAAGCAGGTACTTCAATATTGTGTACTTTAAGCTTGTATGCACACATTTGCAGAATTGATATCGTTACATATTTCCTTGTTTGCTCAGCCTTGTCTGGTAAAGAACCACAATACAAGGCTTGGGGGTATAGCTCAGTCAGTGAAGTTTAATCCCCAGAACTGCCGTAAAGGACCTATGTCACGGTTGTAACTCCAGCTCTAGAAGATGGAGGCAGGAGAATATCTGGGACCTGTGGGAAGCCAGCCTGGACTAGTTGGCAAGCTCTAGGACCCTTCTCAAAAACACGGTGAGCCACCCCTGAAGAACACACCTGAGGTTGACCTCTGACTGGATCGACAGGGACATACACACATACATTTCTAAAGTTTATTTTCTCAAGTACCATAGTTTTTAAAGAAATTTAACATTTTGTAATAAATTATTGACAGAATTCACATTTTTAAAATTTTCTTAAACATGTATCTTAATATAGAAACATTTTCTAAAAGTCCAAGGATTCATTACAGTGGTTTCTATGATCAGAAGGTGGTAAGGTACTCAGTAAGGACTGGCATATATTGCTTTCTGAATTAAAAAAAAAATTATTTTTTATTTATTTATTTATTTATTTATTTTTTGAGACAGGGTCTCACTAGCCTTGGCTATCCTGGAGGCCAGTATGTAGACCAGGCTGACCTGGAACTCATAAAGATCCACCTGCTTCAGCCCAGCATTGGGACTAAAGTATGTGCCACCATGCATGACTTGGCAGTGAAAACTGTTTGCCCCAAGATTAGACCTCTGCACTGATGTGGGTGACTGTGCCCTGAGATGTTTCTGTATTGTGTTTTATATAATGGTTGCTTCTCAAACTGATATTGATTGTGTTGTCTTCCATCCCTGAAACTAATTCAAAATTTTCATTCCTGTGATTATCCAAAGCCAATTTTAAAATTGGTTTATTTGGTTCGAAATTATCTTTACATTAGTTAAAATTGTAAGTACTGGCCAGGTGTGGTGGCACAAATCTGTAGTCCCAGCTTTTAGGAGGCAGAATCTCTTGAGTTCAAGGCCAGCTTGGTCTACACGGCTTGTTTCTTTAGTTTCAGGAGCTTGAACAGAGTGGTGCTTACCTGTCATTTCAGTGATAGGGAGATGGAGGCAGGAGGATCAGGAATTGAGGGTCATCCTCAATTACATGGGCTATTTGAGGCTAGCCTGGACTACATGAGACCCTATCTTAAAAAAAATAATAGTTTCAATTTTGAGCCAGGCCAAACGACACAGGCCTACGATTGATTCCAGCTACTTGGTATTTGGGGTCGGAAAATTGAAAGTGGAAGGCCTGCTTGAGCAAATTGGTTAGACCCTGTCTGAAAATGAAAGTAATAAGAGGGCTGGATAAAGTAAAAAGTTAAAAACAGAACAAAGCTGTAGCCCAGTGATGCCTCGCCCTGGTTCCATTCCCCAGAGCAGTGGCAAGTATGCACTACATAACTGGCCCACTATTTGCTTAGTTTATGTTTACAAAGAATGAAGAGGTTGAATGGTTTTCGGTCTAATCAGTCTTGAAAATCTTTATTGTAAAAATAATTATTTAGGTAGCATATATAGTCAAAGTAAAGTAGTCTTCAAATCCATAATTTAATTGCTTTCTCTTTCTTTTTATAGATACTAAAATGGACCGTAAAGATAAATTGTTTGTGATAAATGAGGTAATTTTATAATTATTACAAATATTTTATCAACGAAAAGATAACTCATTTAACAAAGGTTATTTAATGACTTGTAAAAATCATTTTGTGAATAATTCAAATTTTATTATTTTCACTAATCTTTCACTTATTTTTATTCCATGATAGTATATGTGAAACTTAGAATAGATACATAATAATAATTATCAATCAACGTATATAAAGTTTCAAAACTGTGGCTATTTATAGAAAACTTATATTGTATAAAAGGACTTTATCAATATTAAATATGCAGGGAAAATTTCTTCTTGCAGTATTACAAACTAGTAATAGTTAGAATTTCAAAGAATTGTTGAAGTTGCTAACCTTGTATTTCAAAGCGAAATTTTCTAAACAGTTTTAAGATAATTCTTTGGCTGTCGAAAGGCTTTTATTTGGTAGTTTGGCACAAATGTTGCTGTAGCATGACATTATTGTGCGAGCTGTGGCAGCATTGTTGACCAGAGCTAGAACACTCTCTTTTGCTGGGAGCTTTTCTTGCAGTGTGAGAGACAGGACACACATGATCTACAATTTCAGGTGGAAGCGTGAGAAAGAAAGTGGTGTGTGTATTTTTCATTGCTGAGCTAGACTAGGAAAGCCTTTCTGAAGGGGAGTTGTCAACTTACTATTCCAGGCTTAAAAAGGAAATTGGCGGAAGAACATTCCAGTAGAGAAGGCAAATACAAACTCAGAAAGTAGTTTAAAAAATAAAACCAGCCACAAAAGGTAGATAACAAAAATTTTAAAAAGAAAGAAAGAAAGAAAAATGTACTTAAATTTCTTAAGTTGGCAAGGTTCACGTCTTGGGTAGCTTGAGATTACTAACCATAGGAATTTATTCTTATGATGGTTTTGTGATTTAAAATGGGCAGAGTTGGGAGGCAGTCAGATTTCTGTGAGTTCCAGGCCAGCCTGGTCTACAAGAGCTAGTTCCAGGACAGGCTCCAAAGCTACAGAGAAACCCTATCTTGAAAAACAAAAAACAAAGATGTTGATTAAATCACTCTGAAGGAGGTTTTGCTTCTTACCGAACCCTTAATTCTTGAACAAAAGCCTATGTAAATAAATTTTTAAATTTTATAAAATTAAAACTCAAAAGTTGATGCTTAAAATAAAGGGTATCTTTGTTTTGTTAGGGTTATATTTTGAGATAGAGTTTAGTTATTGCACCTCTTATGCCTGGTGCCTTATTTTCTGTCATTGTTTATGCAGGGACTGTAATTAGAGGACATCTTCAGTACAGCAAGGACACCAGTTACTCTAAAATACTAGGCTGGCTGGGCATGTAATTCAAAACTTGGGAGGGGGAGAGTATCAGGAGAAAGCCAGCCTGGGCTGCATGGTACCCTGCCAGTAAAAAAAAAAATACATTATACCGTAGACTAGAGAGTTGAGAGGGATGCATACAATATCAGGTTTACCTTGAGTAGAATGCCAGAAAGGAAATAAAATTCTGTGAGTAAATATGCACAGGGTTTTTTTGGTGGCCATGCTTAAATCTTTTTAGAGAAATCTGGTTAAATTGCAGCAAATTACTTTACTTCTTAATAATATCTGTTGCTTTTTTTATTTTTCTTTCTATTTTTTAGGTCTGTGAAATGAAAAACTGCAATAAATGCATCTACTTTGAAGCTAAGAAAAAGCAGGATCTCTATATGTGGTAAGAGAATATGACAATAGAATTGAGTTGGGCTGTTGGAATGGGTTTATTGCTTGTCCATCTTATACAAGATCAACCATTTATGTGAAAGGGAGGGATAGAGTATACTTGTTTGATTGCAGAATATTTGAAACCCCTAAAGAACATTTTACGTGAATATTAGAGACATGGGCTGTCTATACCATACACGTGCTTTTTATATAATTTGCCTACAGTGAACACTCACTGCATGCCAATCCTCTAAAAAACTTTCTTCTTGTATTTCAGGCTTTCAAATTCACCTCATGGGCCGTCTGCAAAATTCTTAGTTCAGAATAGTAAGTCTGGCTTAACATTTTTTTTTTTTTCAATGAAAATCTTAGAAATTTGGGGGTTAATTGTGTCAAAGGACTTTACTGTGTTTTCATTACAATTCTTTAGTTCATACCCTGGCTGAACTGAAGATGACCGGAAACTGCTTGAAAGGTTCTCGTCCCCTTTTGTCTTTTGACCCTGTAAGTTTCTCATTCACTATAAATTCTATTTAGTTATTATTAAAAAAAGGTCTTTAAAGAAGGTACTTTTGATTTCAAATAATGTATTTATATTTTTATTTGTAGGCTTTTGATGAATTTCCACATTATGCTTTGTTAAAAGAACTCCTAATTCAGGTACATAACTGCCCTAAAAAAAAAGTATTTGTAGAGTGGATAACAGATGACTGTCTTCCTCTGGACTTGCTTTGGGATGGAAACTAACAGGCTTGTTTCCTGTAAGATCTTTAGTACACCACGGTACCACCCCAGGAGCCAGCCGTTTGTGGACCACGTGTTTACGTTCACTATTCTGGATAACAGGATATGGTTTCGGAACTTCCAGGTTAGCCTTGCTTTACTTTTTATGTGCTTAGATATATTGGGATATATAGCATTACTGACAATGCAAATGTACGTTCTTTGCTTTAAATAGCTCCATTTCCCTTCAGATATTTGTGATGAATGATTGTCTGCCGTCATATACCTGAAATCATCTCTGTCTACTTCTTTTTATGGTTTTCATTTGATGTGACTTATAACATCTGTAACAAGCCACAGTACTCATTTAGAAAAGAAAGTAGATTGGAAATCTGTGGGCTGAGTGGCTTGCAGCCTTTCCGGAATCCTGTAAAGGACAGTTCGTTGTTTCTCTCCCGCAGTGTTTGAGTGCAGCAGGGAGATGGGTAGGATGCTGTAAGACTTCGAAAAACATAATTGCTATAGTAACAGCTTAGGTGAGTCATTGCATGACTCATCAGAAGTAGGGATGCTGGAAATCTCTATCAGGAATTTGGCAATGCAAATGTGCAGAAAAATGGAGAAGAGTTCATGCAGCAAGTGATGGATGTAGGACTCCTGTCTGCATGTTTTATAGAAGATACTTTACAGTATCAGTTAAATTTGACTTCGGAGAGTAGATCTATTAAGAATGTTAATGTCGGCCAAATCCCTGAGACTTCAAGGCCAACCTGTTCAACATAGTGAGCTCTAGGACGGCCAGGGCTAAGTAAAGAGACCCTGTCTCAACAGACAACCAAAAAGAAAGTTAATGTTTGTGAGACTCAAAATATGAAACAAATTCAAATATCTCAACTTAAAAAAGCACTGAGAGGTAAAGTTCGTGGTATGTGAGCATGAAGACTTGAGGCATAAGTGGCGCGTATATCATCCTAGCTCTGGAAAAGTAGAGGCAGATAGATCACTGGGGCTTGTGGACTGGCCAGCCTAATTTAACTGCAAGCTCCAGGTACCAGTGAAGCCATCTTAAAAAGTGGGGCTGCTGAGATGGCTCAGCTGGTAAATGCTTGCCACTAAGCCTGGTAACCTGAGTTTGTTGTGGGACACACGTGGTAGGAGAGAACTGAGTCCTGTAAGAAGTATTATGATTTGCCACCTGCCAGGTTCTTACCATACCTTTATTTCCAAGATTATCACTCGTGGTCTTGTGCTTCATTTTTTGTTTTTGTTTGTTTGTTTGAGACATTGTCCCTCTATGTAGCTCTGGCAGGCCTGGAACTCAGTATGTAGATGAGGCATAGATCCACTTGCCTCTGCCTCAGCCCAGCAGTGATAGGATTAAAAGTGTGCCGTGCTTGGTTTATTAATTCTTAGAGCACACTCGTGATGACAGCTTGGGTAGTTTACCTTTTGTCAATATTATGCCCAAACCAGAGGACTGTTTCTTTTTTATTGAAGATTATAGAAGAAGATGCTGCTCTGGTGGAAATAGGACCTCGTTTTGTCTTAAATCTCATAAAGATTTTTCAGGGAAGCTTTGGAGGACCAACTTTATATGAAAATCCTCACTACCAGTCTCCAAACATGGTAAGCTGGGTATTTTGATTGTTTTTTTTTTTTTTTTTTTTTTTTCTCTCTGGGGCGGGTGGTTTTTGTCTGCAACTTGTAATTAGTGTTTTGCCACCTATATGACTAAATTGGTTTTATTATGCGTACAATTTACTACTTTAAAAAAATGAGTCTGGGTGAAGGGACATAAGTGGAGGCCTTATTAAAAACTGTCTACTGTTTGTTGTGTCTAGCATCGGCGTATCATAAGGTCCATCACAGCTGCAAAGTACAGAGAGAAACAACAAGTCAAAGATGTTCAGAAACTGAGAAAGAAAGAACCAAAGGCTATTGTTCCACACGATCCCACTGCAGATGTCTTTGTTATACCAGCAGAGGAGAAACCAGTAGAAATACAGTGGGTGAAGCCAGAGCCTAAAGTAGATCTGACAGCAAGAAAGAGACGGATTTACAAAAGGCATCGGAAACTGCAGCAAAAGATGAACAGAGGGAATGCAAAATGAATCAGTGGATAACTGGCTTCTCTAGTTACTGTATATTTATTTTGTATTCCACTTGTAAATACTTGTAATATCAAAAACTAGCTATGTCTAATTAGGGTGCCTTTATTTTCTAAATAAAGCATCTCCAGAATGCACCACCTACTTTCCGTTCTTCTCACAGCCCATTTAGTGCTATTGGATACTTAGCACACTGACAGTTTGGTTAGAATTGTAATCTGGTCAGCCTGAAATTCAGTCATGTTTATTGGGTCCTGAGTACTTACAAAGGTGGTAGGCACTCAGAGCAGAGTTTGTGGGTGGCAAGGTGGGGAATGGTCATTTTACTGAGTTTTTACTGCTGAAGTCACTAGTTCATGACGCCTTGGGAAACTGACTTCCGATTATTTCTTTAATCTCAACCAAGAGTACATTTAATTCTTAGGTTTTGAAAACCAACCAATGCCTGTCTTATTGATAAATTTCAAATTTATATTAGAAGCAATTACTACAGATTATTTACTTAGACGTAGTAAAAGGAAAAGTAGGACGGAATATAAGAATATTGGAGGATTTTCCTCCTGTGAAAAACAATTACAGCTTCTAGAGAGCAGTAGCAGCAGGGAAAGCAGCAACTTGATCCTCCAGTGATCATGGGGATATGTGACTGGGGGGATGCACGGATGTTATATATAGTTTTTAACATCCATACATATATGTTAGACTTGTATCAGATGGCTTGTTGGGGGTGTTTCACCACATCTGCAGCCTGTTTACTAACTGAATATGTTTCTCTTGTAATCACAGCCATATCAGCATCATTCCTTATCCCTTTAAAGAGTCTTCAGCTTGCTTTTTGTCCTTCTAATAGTGATGGCTGTGGCAAATACTTTTATATAGAAATCTCGACAACACTCATGGTTAAAACTGGTCAAAGGTTTTAAACAAGGCTTTCTGATGATTTTTGTAAGGTCCAAAATTGTACCTTGCCAGCCATTAGAACATTCATGTTCTTGTGTGACTTGCCATTGAGAATGCCCACTGCAAAAGGATTTTGTGTGTGTGGAGGGGGGCCAGACAAATCTTGTTTTTCTTTGGTAGGGTCTCTTACATATTTCTAGAAGTTTTATATAGTTACATAATTCTAGACACAATTTCTAGTTTATTATTGATTTTTGTCTGTCCTTTGGTTTTTGGTACTATGATAAACATTCTGACCAAAAGCAACTTGGTTTATCTTAGACTTACTTTAGACTTCAAGGTTCATCACTGAGGGAAATGAGGGTAGATAAAGACTAGGCCCAGAATCTGGAGGCAGGAACTGAAGCAGAGACCCAGGAGGAACACAAGATTCCTGGCTTGCTCAGCTTTTTTTTTTTTTAACTTTAAATTATTTTTGTAAACAATCTTCATTTTGCATACCAATCCCAGTTACCTCTTCTGCCCTCCTGCTCCCTCTACCCCTCCACCCAACCCCCAATGCACTCACTCCTCAGGGTAAGGCTTCCTATGGGCAGTCCACAAAGAGGCATATCACTGAGGCAAGACCAAGTCATCCTTGCATCTAGGCTGAGCTAGGTATCCCTCCTAAGAGAATGGGCTCCAAAAAGCCAGTTCACAGCTTTGTGGTTTTGTTTTTTAACCTACCTCCTGCCTAAGGATGGCACCCCTTACAGGGGTCCTTCCTACATGAATTAGCAATTAAAATACCCCACAGACATGCCCACAACCCCATGTGAAAAAAGTACTTTGCCACAGTTGTGGTTTCCTCCAAAAAGACTAGTTTGTCAAGTTGACAAAAATCAGCACAAAGTTAACTGTGTGTATGGGGGCTGGAGAGATGGTTCAGGGTTAAGAGCACTGGTTTCTCTTTCAGAAGACCAGAGTTCTGTTGAGTTCAATTCATGCTTTTAATTGTGCTACTTTTCTTGAACTAGTTTAAATGAGACTACTTGAAGTCATTTAAATGCTGTAAGTGATTTGGGTCAGAAGTTCACCTGAAGTTCTGGACTGGCCAGTTTCTCATGGCCGTAGCTGGTTAAATACAAAAGACAAAAGGGGCATTGGTTCTTTGGGCAGTTAAACATCTCGAAGAGTTTATTAGAGAATATATTTTATAAGCAAGTTACATATCATTAAAAAGTTGCCAGTCTTGAAAGAGGTGAATTATTAATCCTTTGGATGTGGGCATTGCAAGGGTTTGGTAGAATTTCCCACTTCACAATTTCTTATATTTTTTTTTTCTGTTTATTTTTCCAGTCATAATTCCAAACAACTTGTAGAGGGTTTGATCCCTTGAGTCGCATCTCTTCACCTACAGGTAGCTTATATAAAATCAATGTATTTAATAAGAGTGCCCTGTAAACAAAGAACAATAGCTCCTGTTTGTAATCCTAGCTCCTGAGAAGCCGAGACTACAGACCTGCAAGTTCAAGACTAATGTTACTGGACTATGCAGTCAGCCAAAGCTAACCAACCAAAGAGGACTCACTGAAATAGCCAGTTTAATCAACTTTACAGTCAATCACTTGTCACAGGCCAAAATAAATGCCCCCATCCCCCCCCCCCAAAGCAGCCAAGTGACTTGCAGTTTACAAACAACCACACATGGCAGAAGGAAGGAAAAATGTATCTCCCCCACCCCCAACTCCCCACTCCTAATTGATTCTCAGGAGAAGAAAGGTCTTAGGTTTCTTGCAAACTCAAACTTTTCCAGCCCTATCCATTACTAATTTAACAAATGACTGAAATAATAGGCAAGTGTTAATTTTGAGTAGTGACTTAGACATCTGATACAGGGAGAAAATGAGTTGGGCTTTGTGAATGTGTTGGGGGCGAGACATTAACGAAGGCACTGTCTCCCTGATATGTGTGGTTTCTCCAACCCTGTACAAAAGACACCCACAAGGAATACCTTCTGCGGCCATATATTGTTAAATAGAACTTCATGTAGGTAAATATTTCATCTTAAAGTGAAATTATGGGAGCATTTTAATGGGCATTAGATACTATTTTCACATTCAGTTGATTAGAGTAGGCGTCCAGATCTCTCATCACATAGCTACTCAAATCCACCCAGACCTGCCTGCTGGGTAAATACATCCCATTCTCAACCTAGTCTTGAGACGGTAGTAGAACACAGAAAGGTAGGATTCACCAGTGATATATAGTACTCAGGCATCTCTTAGGTCATACATTTTACCTTTTATTAAATATTTCCATGCAGAGGGACAAAGTTTGGGGAGGAGGGGCCTGAAGAAGACAGTTTTTTTTTTTTAAAATGAAAGATTGGTCTTAAAATCATGACAATCCTGCCTCAACTCTGCTTCTAGGGTTTGCAAATGAAAACACATAAAGGGAGGGGAAAAATGTGTTTTCCTCTCCACAATCAAGGAAAGGTTCTAAAATAGGAACTCTCTCTAACCTTTTTTCTTGTAAGTTCTCTCTCTCTCTCTCTCTCTCTCTCTTTCTCTCTCTTTCTCTGGCCTTGCTTTAGCAAGGCTGCATATTTAAAACAAGACATTTCACGACACTGATTAACTGATGTTTCCTTATGACTCATTCGTAGGAAGAGCACTTGCTGTCACGTGGACATTTTGGGTTTAATGTCTGTGTAAACGAACTAGTCTAGTGGTGGAGGCCAAGAAGTCCAGTATTTGGGAGGCAGAGGCAGCTCCTGTGGATACCGAGATGGCCTTGAACTCACAGGGTGGGGTAATTAAAAGCGGGGCTGGAAGTCACTGAATACTCTTAAACCTGCCTCCTGGGTGGAGGCTGGAAGGTGCGTTCTTCATAACCGGCTTGTTAAGAATAAGAGCAGCTCCGCGGGCGCAAGAAGTCCAATTAGGTCAAATCAAACCAAATCAAAATGCCCATCGTTTTATTAAGGATGACACTCTCAGGTGGCCGAGCGCACGGTGGGGGGGGGGGGAGACCCAAAAACCACGTGTTCCTCCTCTAGGAGGCTCTTTAAATTCCCTGTGGGACTGGTCCTGACCCCACCCCCCAAGGAGGGGTCAGGACCTTGCATGCTGGGATTTGGAGTCTAGAGCAAAGCAACTCCCAGGCCAGGGGCTGGGGCTACGCCCCCAATTTTACACGGCCCACAGCCTGGTTTTTGGTATGCTTTCTTAAAATTTGTGAATATTGCCCTACTGGATGGTGGTGGCACTCCTCTTTAACAGGGAGCCAGAGGCAGGTGAGTTCAAGGCCAGCCTGGTCTACAGAGCGAATTCCAGGACAGCCAAGGCTGCGCAGAGAAACAAGTTGAAACTTGCCTCTCAAGTTGTTTCAAATACTGATTTTAGCGATCATCTTATTTACTATCCTTTATCATTATTATTGGTCAAGATGAGAAAAAATAAGAGATCCTAGTTAGGTGGGAGCTGAAGAGAACTGAAAAGGTATTTTAAACACTCTTGCTTCGACCAAGAACTTGTGGCTGAAGCACTTGACTACTTGAAACCCGAGTTTCTTTATTGTTAAGTCTCCTCTGCCCAGAAACAACCCGAACACCAGGAAGGCGTTTCCCAGACGACTTCCCCTGCCAAGCCTCTCCACCCCTCCGTCCAGGCCGGCCAGGAGGGGCCACTCAAACAGCTCACTGTGCCCCTCACAATGCTCCCCGGCGTGGCACCCCCGCCCTCCCTCGCCCACCCGGGCTCCGCCTCCGCGGCGCGCGGCTCGCCCGGAACCCAGCCTAGCCCCCGCCCATGCGGAGCCGCCGGCGCCGCCCCCTCCGCGCGCCCGCGTGCCGCAGCCCGCGTCGTCCACCGCCGCGCGCCTCCGCCGCCCCGCGCCGCTGCCGCCGCCGCCGCCGGGCTCGCTGGGTGGCGGGCTGCTGGCACCGGGCTCCCGCCGGAGGAGAGGACAAGCAGCGCCGCCGCCGCCGCTTCGGCCCGGGCCCGGGCGTTGGCCCCGCCCCGGGCCACGGCCCCGGCCCCGGCCCAGTGTCCAGCCCGGCCATGAAGTGTCACTACGAGGCGCTGGGGGTGCGGCGCGACGCCAGCGAGGAGGAGCTCAAGAAGGCCTATCGGAAGCTGGCCCTGAGGTGGCACCCGGGTAGGTGACCGACCGGAGGGCGGGGAAAGCCGGGCGGCCCTCCTCACCCTCCCCGCGTCCGCGAGACCCCGGCCGGCCGGGCCCCCGCCCCCTGCCC